TAACCAAATGATATGAATTCATCATGAAATGTGTAGCATGAAAAATTATGTGAAGGTGATCTGTACACATCTATTTTCAACTAATTCAAACTTTAACTTATCGAGATTGATATAATAACCTTAATGTACAAAGTGTAATGATTGAACGAAAAACCGCATTTCTATAGATAACCAAAAATCTCCAAAAAATCAATGTATACATACATTAAATTAAACATAGAACATAAAATATATGAAAATGACTAACTCCCACTAAATCACAAATTCCTCAAATTGTAAAACACCCATATGAGCAACATGTTCATGAAAGACCTTGGGGCGGAAGTCCTTTAGTTAGAGGATTTGCTATCATGGAGGTTGTCCCTAAGTGTTCTATGGAAATTTGTTCACTCTGTACTCTTTCCTTAACAACTAGGAACTTAATGTCGATGTGCTTTGATTTAGTCGAGCTCCTATTGTTGTTGGAGTACAATACAACTGATTTGTTGTTACAATATAACTTAAGTGGTCTTTCAATGCTTTTCACAATTTGCAGTCCTGTGACAAAATTTCTCAGCCATATTCAATGATTTGATGCCTCATAGCATGCTACAAATTCTACTGCTATAGTGGATGAAACTGTAAGGGTTTGCTTGACACTACACCAAGAAACCGCACCACCTGCCAACATGAAAATATAACCTGAAGTGGATTTCAAACTATCTTGACATCCTGCAAAGTTTGAGTCAGAAAACCCAACAATCTCTAATTGGTCTGGCCTCCTGTATGTGAGCATATAATCTTTTGTTCTATTTAAATATCTTATAATCATTTTTGTTGCTTTCCAATGGTTCATTCCTGGATTGCTTAAATATCTGCCTAGAACCCCAACTGTGTATGTTATGTCTGGACACATACATACTTGGGCATACATCAAACTCCCTATAGCTGATGCATAGGGAATCTTCTGCATTTCCTTAATTTCCAAATTCCCCTTTGGGCACTGATTGAGACTAAACTTGTCTCTCTTAACAACTGGAATATCCCCGACTCATGATGCACATGTTCTTGAGGATCTTGAGTTTGTTCTTGATGAACAGCCAAATCATCTTGAGTATGGGGTTCATCATTAATGTCTTGTGGAGGTTCCGAACTTACTTTGTCAAAAGTAACTGATTGAATCGATTCTGGACTTGTTATCGATTCTTCCTCCAAGACAAAGTTCTTAATCTTATTCTTCCCCCCAAACTCAATATCCTCAAAGAATATAGCGGTTCTCGTCTCAAAAATTGTCTTTAATGTGGGATCATAAAATTTATATCTCTTGGATCTTTCAGCATAACCAATAAAATAACTATTTATTGTTCGAGAGTCCAATTTCTTTTCATTTGTTTATAAGGTCTTGTCTCAGCCGGACAATCCCAAGCACCACGATTCGATTGTGACCTAAGCCCTTGTGCTATAATGTACTTGAGTGAGTATTTTAAATTTTACGTTTAGTACCACGAGATTCTCTATTAAAAGTTTCATTATAGGTGGCCACAGTATCAAGCAAATACAGATTATCATAAGCAAAAAACGAATCAGTTCCAACAATATTTGAATTAAAAGACAAATTGAATTCATTATTTCCAAATGAACAAGAATAACCTAATTTGTCCAAATAAGAAACTGAAATTAAATTCCGTCTAAATGACGGCACGACAAAAGTGTCTTTAAAATCTAAAATAAAAAACCAGTACACAATAATAATCTAAAATGCCCAATAGCCTTCATCTCCACCGATTTGTCATCTCCAACGTATATCCATCTTTTAGAATCAGTTGGCTTCCGGTAGTTTAGACAACCCTTCATAGAAACACTGATGTTAGTAGTTGCACCTAAGTCTAACCACCAAGTGTTAATAGGTATTGATGCTAAATTGACTTTAGAACAAACCAAAGTAAGAAACATTCCTTTCTTTTCACGTCAAGTATGATATTTAGCACATTTCTTCTTTACGTGTCCAGTCTTATTGTAAAAGAAATATTTGTTTTCTTGAGTTTGTTTCTTTTGTTCTGGACCCTTAGCAACTTCCTTCTTAGGATCCTCCGATCTCTTTATTTTGCCCTTAGCCTTGGAGGTACTTGCAAAATGAGCATTTTCTGTCTTGTCTAGCTTTAGTCTTTCCTCTTCTTGCACGCAGTATGAAATGAGTTCATTAAGAGATCATTTATCCTTCTGACAGTTGTAAGATACCTTAAACTGATTAAACGTTGCAGGAAGAGAAATCAACACCAAATGAATGAGCAAGTCTTCTAAGAGTTCGAGATTTAGTGCCTTGAGTTTAAAAACAATATTAGACATGCTCATAATGTACTCCCTGATATTTCCTATGCCTGATATTTCATGGAGATCAAGTTTTGAAGAAGAGTGTTTGCCTCCGCCTTATCGTTTTTTGCAAAGCGTTGCTCAATTTCAGCAAAAAATTCTTTGGCATTTGTGATGTTTTCAGAAACAATGCCCCTAAACACCTCTGGGATGTCGCGCTTAATGATCATTAGAATCATGCGATTTGAGCGATCCCACTTCTCATAATCTCTTTTTTGTTCAGAGGTACTTGAATCCGTAGGAGTAGGGGTTGCTCAGTCCTTAATGCAACATCTATATCCATGCAGCCAAGAATAATATCAATGTTCTCTTTCCAGTCCTTAAATTTGTTCCATTGAGGATTGTAACAGAATTTAAATTGGAAGATACAAAAGCAATTATAGTTGAATATAGAACAAGAGAAATAAACTATGCTCACATTATAAAAATAAATAATTATAATATATATTCAAAAAATGGTTTAACCCATCTCAAGACACTCAATGCACCATCAATATCAAGTCTTTGGATAGTAATATTAACTACTAGAGGTATCTTGTTGTAATGATCAAATATTGACAATAAAACACGTCCAACAACAAACTAGTCTTTGGATTACTTTATCATCGACAAAGCAAATTCTTATAATTATCACATGTTTATCATTACAAGTGTATATGCAATTTGACCAAATATTAATCTTGTTTTAGGCCGACTAATACTCGCATGAATATACACAAACACTAACATTCAATATTTTTCATGAACTTCCCAATTCAAGAGGAGGTTACTTTAACGATTTCTTGACTCAGTTTATTCACAATAAATATTAAACTACCAAAAATTAAATATTTTATTTATATATATAACAAAACCAAATATTTATAATTATTTATTTACAATTCCCAAAATTGCATCTTCTTACATATCCAATTCGCTTTGGTTTTCTTTTCTTTCTTTTTTTTATTTAGTGGAGGAGAAGTCGCACCCCCAAATCTCCGTTCCCAAATTGATGGGCCATTTGTACCTTTCGTTTGCACTGTCAGTTTCTGCAGATTTGACAACTTTAGTCAATCAGTTGGAAGAATTGCTTCCACGGACTATTCATAGAAGTGAAATGTACTATGCTCTAGCCCTTTGTTAGTATGGAGCAGGTAAGGATCTAGTAGCACTGTTGTGAATATGAAATTGGGTTTGGTGATAATGTTCGGGCCTCTGGTACATGTTCGACAGAATCAACATTGGGCTAATTGTGGGCTTCGTGTGGAGCCGTAAATACCGGTCGTCGTGCCTGCAAACACCCGATGCCAAGTGCTCTGCCATTTGTCTGTTAGGGTTAGGGTTTTGGAGGTTCAAACCTTTAATTTCTCCAATATTTGACAGTCTGAATGTAGCCACACACAGAGACACACAAACCGCAACTCCTTCGTCCACTTCTTAAACCTCATGCAATTGGACCTCCACACCAACGCTATCGCTGACGACCAACGGGACGACAGCCCTTGCGACGCTGCTGGTGCTTCTTGCCACCACTGTAATTTCAAAAATAGATTGGGGATCTTATCCCCAAATTGGAAATTTAGGGTTCACGAAAATTGAAGAGTATTCTCCACGCGTTGATGAAATGGGATAATTTGAATGGTTAAAAACAAAATTAATCTTAATTTTTATATTTAGGGTTTTATAAATTAAACAGAGACGTGAATCAAGTATGGGTGAATCTAATATCAGTTGTTAGTAAAACTAATAATAATTATGATATAATTATGATTTAACGAATTAAGCTATAATGATGATATTCTTGTAAAGCACTATTGATCTTATAGTCTTCCACACGAAGAATACCTATATTTTCCTCTAGATTTTCTCTTTTGATGGGGATAAAAATAAAGAACGAGATCGAGACTTACGTTTTGTGTATGTGTTCTAAAAGGGACCATGACCTTTAAAATAACTAGAATTAGGTTAATTACTTAAGTTTTAGTATTTCCAATTTGATCACTCATCAAATTAGAAATTGTTACTATGGTCTTTATATAATTTTATTTTCAATGACATATGTCTTTAACCAAACTTTTTTATTTATTCAGGTCACATTATTATTTAGCTTAATAAATAATGACTCTAACACATTTAAATTATACATCATATATATATATATATATATATATGACTCAACTTTTACCAACAAAACATTACCTAATAATAATCAAAATTACCTAATTTTTAGAAAACTAAAAAAAAAAGGTTAAATATCTAACTAAAATTACGTAGGAACTAAAATATATATTCCTCAACTAACAACAATTAAAAGTGGATTCTAACCTAAAATGTTAAAAATTGTAAATTGCTTATGAAAAACCAATAGTAAAATTAATTTTATAAAAATGTAACGTTGAACAATAATATTACGTAATAAGATCCAATTAATCATGAGTTTCTAACGTGAAGTAAATGGGATGCTTTAAGGGATTTAACAACGGTTAATATAATATTAATATTAATGATCCATAACAAATATTGTACTAACATCGCAGCTCTTATAAAATTATTATAAAAAGTAAAATAGCATTTTTTTTTAAATTAATGTAAAAATTAGTGAAAAGCCCTAAACCCTGGTGGAGAAGGTAAACGCTGAAAGAAGCAGAAGAAGACGAAGAGGTGTAGCAGCCATGGGGAAAATCCCTCCTTCGTTCCGCTCCGCAATCGGAAACCCTAACATTCGAAACCCTTCTTCTCTCTTCCGTCCCCAACCACCTTCTTCTCCCTGCAAACCATTCCCCTCCCAGAAGAAACAATCCCGAAAGCCTATTCCACAACAAAAACCTATCTTCAAATCCCCAAATCTCGAAGACGCCAAGAAAACCTTCGACTCCATTGCCAATTCCTCCCATGACCCTCGCTTCCCCAATTCCCTCCTTCACTCCTACGCCAAAATCGCCACCTCCACCACCGATTCCATCAAATTCCTCCACCACATCACCAAAACCCTCCCTTCCTTCTCCCCCGACCGTTCCACCTTCCACATTCTCCTTTCCCACTCCTGCACCAATCCCAATTCCAATTCCGCTCTCTCCCCAATCCACCAAACCCTAAATTCAATGCTCGCCGCCGGCTTCAACCCGGATGCAGCCACAGCCGACGTTGCGGTCCGCGCCTTGTGCTCCGCCGCCTGCCTTGACCACGCCGTTGAATTGATCAAAGAATTCGCCTCCAAACACTGCCCCCCGGACACCTACACCTTCAATTTCCTCGTTAAGCATCTCTGCAAAGCTCGCGCATTGTCCACTGTCTACGCCTTCATCGACGAAATGCGCGAAAAATTCGGTGTAAAGCCTGATCTTGTTACCTACACTATCTTGATTGACAATGTGTGTAATGGTAAGAACTTGAGAGAGGCAATGAGGTTGGTGAGTGTGCTCCATGAGGAAGGGTTCAAGCCTGATTGCTTTGTGTATAACACGATTATGAAAGGGTATTGTGTGTTGAGTAGAGGGAGTGAGGCGATTGAAGTTTATAACAAAATGAAGGAGGAAGGGGTGGAGCCTGATCTTGTTACTTACAACACTTTGATTTTTGGGTTGTCCAAGTCGGGGAGGGTGGTGGAGGCGAAGAAGCTGTTGCGTGTAATGGCGGAGAAGGGGTATTTTCCTGATGAGGTGACTTATACTACATTGATGAATGGGATGTGTAGGAAGGGGGACGCGCTGGGGGCGCTGGCGTTGTTGGGGGAGATGGAGGCGAAGGGATGCAGCCCGAATGAGTGCACATATAACACTCTGCTGCACGGGTTGTGTAAGGCGAGGTTGTTGGAGAAGGCGGTTGACTTCTATGGGGTGATCAAGGAGGGTGGTTTGAAGCTTGATACGGCTTCTTATGGGACATTTGTGAGGGCACTGTGTAGAGATGGGAGAGTTGCCGAGGCTTATGAGGTGTTTGATTATGCGGTTGAGGGCAAGAGCTTGACTGATGTTGCTGCTTACTCGACGTTGGAGAGCACGCTTAAGTGGCTCAAGAAGGCCAAAGAACAAGGGCTTGCTGTTTGATTGGTAAGGATGGTTTGTATTTTACTCAAGGATTTTGTCAAATTTTTTGTGTGCTGCTGAGGCTTAAATTTGGTTGTCCATGAACACTTAATTATGTGGTATTGTTTAAGTTAGTGCAGGACACAATTATTTCTTAGTTAGTAGGATACCGTTGTAGCATCCTTTTTAGGAATAGGAGGAACGGAGGATATATATCTTCCCTCTCTGTATTAATCTTTTGATAAATTTTCTTCCTCGGAATAAAAGGATGATTGTGATATGTTGGAAATGCTGTTGAAATTTCATTACCAAATCATCTTAGGAATTCTTTAATATCGCTCTAGTAATTGTTTTAAAGGTCTAGTAGAAGCTAAGGTTATCAAACCCTTCGTTTTGGTCTTTTTTAGTTGAAATGGGCATGACATTGTATTTGAGCTTAGTTGATCAACTGGCTTTTTTTACTTAGAGTGGTGTGAAAATAAAGTTCTTTTATTATTCATCCCATTCTAAGTGAAATTTCCAGCATAAGTTTTCCTTACTTTTGGCACTGCCACCATACCCATGCTTTTATCACTCAAGTGATGGGTCCCCTACCATTTTATGGATGGTAAAAGTAATTCATATATATCTATTGCAGGTAATTTCTGTCAGTGTTGCCAAGGATCTAAGAGCTAGGTGCCAAGGTTAGGCCTAACTCCATAAGAGCATTCCAAAGCTGCAAATATAATTTCTCTCGGTATTTGGTTCAAATATATCTTTGTTAACAGTTGGAACAACTTGGAACTGGAATCAGACAGGAAGCCAAAATCTGGTAAAATTTTGGTTGCAAACATTCGATGGTTATCATGCAATGCAACAGCATTCTTTGAAGCTGCTTGGTCAGTCCTACTGATGTTATTATTTGGCAGTAGCATTCTGGCTGTTCTTTTATGCACTCAAGGAAAACGTGTATTTTTATGGAAACTATTGTTCGTTATTTTGAATCGTATGATTCTCTAATAGATGAAGATAATCAATTTTGAGTAAACCATAAAGGTGCATTTGACTGGGAGATGTGGCATTCATTGTATTTGTATCAACAAGATAGTTGGTGGTTGCATAATGTACCATATCTTAGAAGGTATCGTGGAATTCCCGTGTTTCATAGAAATTTACTTCCACGTTTCTAATATTTGGAAATACTTGTATAAGAACTGAATAAACCTATTCAGTATAGCAATAATCTTATTTAATGTGAAACTAGCAGTTCAGTGCTATAATAGTGATGTGAGTAATGCTTATCATTGAGTGCCGAATGATGATGCACAAGGGAAGCCGACGATGATACCTCGTATTCAAATTTTACTCAAGTTGTAATTAGTCTCCCCCCGCATTGGGAAATTGTAATTTACCTTTTTCCTGAATACTTGGTGAGAAATATGCATTGCTACAACTGTGATCATACGATGGTTACTGTTTCAAGTGTGCTTTATAGACTTAATGATGTTAGCATACAGAAATGAAATGAGTAGAAATTAAAAAATAATTATACTGTATGAAATGTCTTTTTTGTATATGCTAAATTTAATTATTTTAATTTTTTTAATATCATTTCAATGATCATGCATATGAAATTTTAAATGAATTGAACATTCATAATTATTTAGCATAATTGTTCTTAGCTTTAAATTTGTTTTACACCTTTAAATTTGATCCAAGTTAAGTTTGTTTGTGGTCATTCAAATTTAAAATTAATTCTTTAGTATATGCACTGTGAAGAATGTTTGTCTTACTATTCTGTTCAAAATATCAATAAAGATTTCACTTAAATATGATTTAACAGTTCTAAGTTTATATAACAAACTGCTTCAATTTTATAATTATATCATAAAAAAACCACATATTTATTTCCCTTTTAAAAAATTATTTTGATGAATTTTATGTATCAGAAATCAAATTTTTTTTTTCAAATGACAGACACTAAAATAATCAATTTAAATTTGACGGACAATAAAACAAATCTCAAATTTAAGTAACGGAAAATATATTTAAACCCATTTTTTAAAGAAATATACAATACACATTAAATTAAGTTTTTTTATAAAGTATTAAATAATTTTAAAATTTTATAAAATTTGTGGACGTTATATTTTGAAAAAATATAACACTTGATTTACTCCTTGTTACTATTTAATATATTCAAAAAGAGATATTAGGTACATTTGGTCTTCATGATATAATCAGTGATATAATATGAAATATTCAACGAAATAATTATTAAAAATTAATAAAACAAAAAAAATAAAGAATAAACTAATTATCGAGAATTTTAAACTAAATATCATATTCAATAGTTATGTATGTAAATGTGAAGAGATTATAATTTTAATTTTATCAAAAGATCCCAAAATTGAATAAACTAAAATATTCCTGTTAAATAATTTATATTCTTTGGTGTTTGTGTCAATAGGGTTTGAAGCTTGTTCGGTGACAAAGCAATCAATGTGTATTTGGTTTTTAGAGTGGACATGGAACACCCTCCCTAGTCTGAATGCGCAATTCAGTTTCACAATTTTTCTTTCTACACCTCTTCCCGTTGATTCTGATGGCGTTGTTGTCCCACTGCACTCGCCGTTTCATCTCAAACCCTTCCTTCAAAACAGCTCTTAGACCAATCAATCATTCCCCTCTTCTCAACCCAACTGTGCCGCAGCGGGCATCCCCACTGTTTATCAGGTAAACTCATTACACCAAACCTCCAAAGCTACCTTCTTTATTCGATTTTTGTTATACCCAGAAATTGAATGTTTAAAAAGTTTCCCAGTTTTCATAAAAGGTCCTTTTGGTGTGTACGGTATAGCTTGAAAATGAAAATTGACAATGAATTTGAAGTAATTCAAACAAAAATGGATTTAGAAAAAACTGACGTGCTAATAGAGACAGCATTGCGAAAGGTCCTATCACATTGATTAAGCATTAGCACATACAGGGGATATATATATAGTCTAGTTTCTACAGCACGTAGAAGAAAATGATAAGATGGAATCTAGGAGACAAGAATATATCTACCATGATATATATATATATATATATATATATATATATATATATATATATATATATATATATATATATATATATATATATATATATATATATATATATATAGTCTAGTTATTACAAAATATCACAAATAAGTGAGTTTGTTAAGTTTTATACGAATTAGCTTACAATTTATGTCTACCATGATTTCAAATTCTAATTGGTCAACTTGTGTACCTCATAAAAATTGTTTGCTGACAAGGCTTAAAAATTAAACTCTATTTTTAAATGAACTGTTCTAATTTGTTGTATTGAACAGAACTTTTGTGTACCAACTAGGAGGCGTGCAGTCACTTTTGCCTCTACATAGTGTAGTGGCCACTGCAAGATTGGTGTCTAGTCTTAGTATTAATTCAAGGAGTTGTGATGCTCTTTCACTGGCTACCCTCTGCTGCAACTACCCTGGACCCTAAGGTCTTTGTAACTTTGAGTGATTGTCTCCTTACTTATGACCGGTGTTCCAATTGGCTCAGGGGAAGAGAATAAGCACAACTCACTATGGAGCTCTTATGATTGGCAAAAAATAATGTCTATGTTGATTTTTGGTTGAGTTGAGAAGCGAAGTTTAGCCTCAATTTAGTTTCTTCGTATAGACCAGATGTAACTTTATTTGTTTCATGTAGCCAGGTTTCTTTGTTTGGTTAATTTTTTTATGGACACCCTCTTTTTGAATCTTTCATGCAATATATGCCTGCCCTATTAAATCTTGATGATGCAAACCCTGCCAAGTGCCAATGTTCTTTGTTCGGATGAGTAGTGCAGAAGAATACTGAGCTTCTGTGCATCTAGGGAGGTTTCAATAAAAAAAAGGTCAGACTTCACTAGTAAAAGATAAATGCACAGGTTTCCAAGTAAACATTTCTGTAGTTCTATAAGTTTACTGAAATTTGATTGTACTTGACTGACATCATTTTAGCTATTGACTGCATAGATAGTAATTAGGAGATAAACTTCAACAATCTTTTTTTTTTTCTTTTTTGGAACATCTTAAAATACACTCTAATGTTGTCCCATTTTTATGTTTATTGGAGTACTAAGGTACTATTGGCATGCTACTTTGCCAAACATAGTTGTTTATGTGAAGTTCGTTTAACACAAAGCATAAAAGTAGTAATTTCTATTTTTCTTTTAATTCAAAATCTTAAGATGATAGGGTTTGTTTTTATTTTATTTTCTTATATATTATTTATTTATTTATTTTCTTTTTTATACAATATATGATTTTTAACTCATACATGAACTATAAAAAGAAAAGAGCTTATTAATTTGTTTTATACTAAGTAGTCTATAGGTTTCCATGCAAGAAGAAATATTAGTATTTTATACTAAGTAGTCTATAGGTTTCCATGCAAGAAGAAATATTAGTATTACATAAAAACAAAAAAGGATAACTTGAGCTTCTTAAGCGTTGAAAAACTATAAAACAAATGGGTATAAAATATCCAATGAAATGAAATGATAAGTTGGAATAATACTGTATATGGAAAATTGGTAATCAAATAACAGTCAAACTAGTTTTAGTTGTGTAGTTACAATAACAGTCAAAATTATGTTTCTTTATAGACGTATTAGAGATGAAATATATATCTTCAATTCAATCTAAAACATACTAAATACCTTAAAACATATATATTTATTTTTTATGATATTAGGGTTAAATATCATTAAAGCAAGATTAAAACATTTTTTTTAATTGTGTCATCCTAAAATCCGTCTATAATTAGGGTATGTTACAATATATCCTAAGTCGCGAGAATGTTAAGTCCCAAGCCCATAAGGATTTGGTAAGGACAAATTAACTCATTGTAAAAAAAAATTAGGATTAGAGATAATTAGGTTTTGCTTTCACATGAGTTAAAAAAAGTTTTGAACCGTTTCAACATACAAGATGATAAGTGAATCTTTATCTCATATCTTATAAATTATAAATCACTCTCATGTTATATCTTAACATTAAAGTTTAGAAGATGAAAATGTTTTCCTATAAATCAATAATGATAAACCTTTTTATAATATTAGACATGATTTTGTTACTCAAATTATTGGTGTTATTAATTTATTAATGGTAAATCCAATAGAGAACATTATAATATTGCGTTAACACCTCTCTTTTTTTCTCCTATAAAAAAAATATTTTTCAAAAACTGTTCAAATATAGAAAATATTAATGTAAAAATAATAAATAATATAAAATAAAAAATAAGGAAGGAAACCCCGCTTCCACCTCCTAACTCAGACCCATTTTCATGTTTCCTCCCACTCTACAGTCACTCTCCATCTCCATCAGCTCCTGCTCTATTACAGTCACCTCCACTGGTTACAACAACCTCCCAGCAGCTATAACCATCCTCTTACCTGAAATTGTACAATTTAGTGAGTACAAGAATGCTCCCATTATCAAATTTAATCTATAAATTCAGGGGTCGAAAATCTTAGAGGGAGATTCTTTTGGGAAAGAAAAAAAAAACGGAGAAGAAACTAAGAGAAAAGAACAATAGAAACACAATGAAAACAACACAACATAGAAGAGAAGAAAATAATGAAAGAAAACAAGGCGTTCTAGAGTTGGTATTAAGACTCTTTTGTGCTAACAAAATTGAGTATTGTTCTTACAAATAAAATTGACTAATAAATAACTAGGTAGCTTAGACTTTGTTAACTTTGACCATTGATCGAAACTGTACTCAACTAGATAAATTCAACAATTAAAATATGTAGTATGAGGAAGTGACTCCTATGTTGTCTCCTAACGAACTATAGATCAAGCCAATATTCTTACATGAGTGTGCAAATTAAACAAAAAAAAAAAAAGGGTTTTGCGAAATAATAAACAATAAATTAACAAAAATAGAATTTGAATAAAACAATGAGAAAACAATTAATTTCCTGATTCGAATGCAGTGTCACTTATCCTAGGTTACAAAATAAATTTTATTTAACCCTTATTCTAACCCGAAATTAACCAACTAAACAAAGATTAACCCAAATTATCCTTATACAATTAAGCATTGCATACATCACATAATCTCATCTCTAACACTGGATTAAGCAAACTGTGATATTTGTTTCAGTTTATTAAGCATAAATAGATTATAATTCACACTGAGATTAAAAGATGTAGAGTTAAGAGAATAAACGAAATAGAAAAACAAAACCTAAAAAATCTACTGCATTCTCCTCAAAAAATCAATACAAAGATTTAGCTATCCATGGAAAATATAAAATGCAGAAGACGAAAATGGTGTTCGGAGGATGCGGCTGCGTGATGTGTGTGGTCGCTAATCTTACGTGATCACTAACATAAATAACCATAAACCCTAGTCTGCCTTTAGGTTTGGGCCCAAATGGCCCACAAAACACGTCAGAAACAAATAAAACAAAAACCCTAATCCTAATGGACAACTAGCATGACATCTGACTCAATCTTCCAAGCCTAAAATTGCTTTAAACTGTCCTGAAAATAATAATGAGCAAAAATTAGATCAAATAGATTCAAATTAATTAAAATCTGAATTATTGGCCCAATGAAGCCCAATTAATAAAAATTCACTAATAACAGACAGTTAAGCCCAAAACACTAATTAAAATAAGTATAGAAAGGTAAGAAAATATGGGAATATAATGACTCATCAAATCACCCCACACTTAGCCTTTTGCACTCCTGGACAAAATCAATAAATGAAGCAGAGCAAGGAACAAATCCAGAGACATCAAAATGGTTCATGCAAAAAGGAAGAAAACAAAATCAAAAGCAAACATAACAGTAAACATGAATAGATTTACATGCTCCTAAATGAAACCTGGGAAACGAAAGGAATAGATACATTCAATCACTCAAAGAAACCAGATACCTATGAGAATCATCTAATCATTCAAAACATGGCAATAAAATCAATTAGCTCAAGAGGTGAATCAAAGCAACAGAACCTCACACGATATGCATTGTATTACTGTATCTCTCAAGTGTCTAGGTTACTGTATATATACTCTCAAAGCACTCATAGAAAGCAAACAACAGATAGTTTTAGCAAGCCTCTGAAATCAACACCTAAATACACATGCACAAAAGGATCAGAAGGTCTTTCCAGGTTGCAGTGGGGCCAAGGACAAGGTGGAGGATATCATAAGGGATACGTAGCTATGAACCTTAAGAACTAGAGAAGCAATGGGGAATAAGTCAAAAATAAACATCAGAGCATGCTCAAAGACCTTTAATATCAATCCCTTCATTTTCCTTTGCCTCAACAACAACTTTCCTTTCTTTTGAATTTCTTTTTAAATTTCACATTTTTTTAAAAAAATGAAAATGAAAATACATAAACTGTATAGTAAGGAACCAACTAGCCAATACATCATCCAATGAAATAAAAACACACCCCTACACTTATTAAATTATTCCCAAAACAATTCCAAAGCTTCAAAACTCCCTAAGGTTAAGGTAATCATGGGCTTTTCACTTAAGGTTTGTAATGAGCTTGAAAAGAAGTAAAGGGAAACATAGGCTCAAAGGGGGCTATCAAGGGAACTGATTCAGGGTAGGCTCATTTGGTTAGAGGTTAATCAGAACAAAAATCGCCTTAATCAGCTCCAAACATGCATGTCAATCAAGCAGTATCAATCAGAGTCAAGCCAAGGTTACTATTCAAGCAATTAAGAGGCATAAAACACAAGAAAGAACAAAGATTGACTCAAATCCTCACACAGGGTAAAACTGTTACATTCAATTCAACCTCTCAAACATCAGAATTAACTTGACATGCAGAGAAAAAAAAACAAGGATTTAAATCCATACAGTATCAAGCAACTCATATCCAAGAGTGAAGAAAGTTCCCAAAACCTAAACAAAACCCAGAGATCCAAGAGAAGCATGCAAACTGTACATAAAACACTCTCCCACACTTAAACTACACATTGTCCCAATGTAGCATAGCATCAAGTCAAGCAATCAAATCTAAAGTTGGACAAGTGCAATAAAAGTAAGGAAGGAGAGGGAAAAGAAAACTCCCTAAGTCATGATGGAAGAGAAGCGGGATCAATGAGGGACATCTCCTCCACAACTGCATCCACTAGAGAATATTGTTGAGGAATGGTTTTAGTCGGTGGCCATTAACCTTGAACCTCTTTTCTGTGGATTCACTTTTGATTTCAACTGCACCATAAGTGAAAGCAATGAAGGGGAGATTGATAACAATGTGAAACATGTCCCTACATTCCTAAGAGATGATTTTGATGATGATTTAAGCCAACAACATTCAAGACTCAAGCAAACCCAATATATGATTTTGATAAAGATTCCATTCAAACATCAAACATGCCCAAGATGATTCATGAAGACTAGATAAAGTCTTAAAATACTGGATATGGAGGTACAAGTTGATGAAGTGGTATTATGCATAAGCCTCCAAAGCACAAG